AATAATAATCTATTTGAAAACATTCAGTATTCCTGATTCAGTATTCATGATCTGAAGAACATTCAATTAGTAACTAATTGAATGTTCTTCAGATCATTCAAATCAGATGCTCCTTTCTCTCAAAAACTCGATTTCTATTTTCTGCACTCTTTGCTCTTTATCTCCGTAACTGTTGGATCTGCCTTTGCCAAAAACTAATCAGCTCATCTCCCTATCAATAGGAATGGAATGTTTTTTGAACCATTCAAATCGGTTGATCCGTGCGCCCGAGAACGTGACTGGAAATTTGTATCCATACATACATACACACACACACATCCATTTTTTCTGAGGCATGCCGAAATGTTCAGAAACCTATGAAACGTAAAGATATATACAAATTTTCATTTTAGATTTTTTGCGATTACTATAACTTAAGTTTAAAATTGGATTAATTGAGTGATAATCATGCTCTCTTATCTTACAGTAAGGAAAAAACAGCGGAAGCAAATGAAGACAATTGACTGCATTTTTTATACTATGTCACCTACTCAATCTTTCTCAAGATTTTTATTTCCCAGTTCGTCTCCTATTTTTAATCATTAAACAAATACAAATAAAAACTGTTTAAAGGAAAATTCCTAATGATACAAACAGATATGGATTTTGTTATCAGTGGGCCCCCTTCGTCATCTGATAGATTTGTTTGCATTGAAGTGAGTCAACTGTCAGATTTATTATCCGACAAGATCAGAATAGAAGAAGAGAAGAGGAAACAGGCAGCTGTACCAACATTCGAATTATGAAATAACTAGTGGTGTATGGCAACGTGTCTTGAGGCAAATTGCTGAAACTTCCCCTACCAGAAATTAATTTTTTTTAAAATGATTAAATATTGTTTTAACTTTGAAAAAAATAGATTTTTGAGAAATTTTAAATTTTTGAAAAAAATTGAATTTTTGGAAAAAAAACTTTTGGATTTTTTTTTAACTTCCCGTAGGACAAGTTATAATAATCGCAAAAAAAACAAAAATGAAAATTTGTATATATCTTTACGTTTCAGAGGTTTCTGAACATTTTGGCATACCTTAGAAAAAATAGATGTATGTGTGTGTGTGTGTATGTGTGTGTGTGTATGTATGTACGTGTGTGTATGTATGTGCGGATACAAATTTTCTTCGACGATTTCCGGAACACGGATCAACCGATTTGAATAATTCAAAAAGCATTCGATTCGTATTGATAAGGAGACGTTCTGATTAGTTTTTGGCGAAGGCAGATCCAGCCGTTCCAAAGATACGGGGCAAAAAGTGCCGAAAACGGTAACTCAGTTTTTAAGAGAACGGAGCGTCCGATTTTAATAATTCAAAAAACATTTGACTTGTATTTACAAGATGAAGAATTGATCAAATTTCCATGAGAGCAGGTCTAGCGGTTTCGGAGATCTAACAAAAAAAGTAAAAAAAATGCCATTTGGCGGTCAAAAATGATCATTAGACATATGCACATCAAATTATCAGATATTTTATAGATATTTTAACAATAAGTATAAATTTTGTTTGCATTCCTATGGGTTCCGCACCAATGTTTATTCGTTAGACGGCGACGCGGCGCTTACGCGCTTTGACATTTTGTCTCTATGCAGTTAAAGCAGTACGATTGCTTTGAAAAAAAGTTCAGATCTTCCAAAATATGCGAAAATAAAGAAAACATTATTTTTTCAAAAAAATATTTTGAAAAAAAAAAATTTTGTTAAATTTTTTTTTGAAAAATTCTTTTTTTTTTCAAAAAAAAGTAATTTTTTGTCCAATTTATAGTCTCAAAAATCTTATTTTTTCGAAGTAATTTTTTTTTTTAAATGTCAATCGTTTTTAAAAAAATAATAATTGTTGGTACGGGAAGTTCCTGCAATTTGCCTTAAGGCACGATGCCTTAATTGCCTTAAGACAGAATTCCACTTACAGCTAGTTTTTAAAGCAATCGCACTGTTTTAGGTACATAGAGATAAAATATCGAAGTGCGTAAGCGCTGCGTCGCTGTCTGATATACAAAATTAATACACATTATTAAAATCTCCATAAAATATGTGATAATTTGATGTGCATGTGTCTAATGATAATTTTTGACCGCCAAATGGCATTTTTTTACATTTTTTACTAGATCTTCGAAACCGGTAGACCTGCCTTCCCAAAAATTTATTCAGTTCTCTATCTTGTCAATACAAGTAAAATGTTTTTTGAATGATTGAAATCGGACGCTGCGTTATCTCAAAAACTGAAATGTATTTTTGGCATCTTTTGCCCCGTATCTCCAAAACGGCTAGACCTGCCGTTGCCAAAAACTAATCAGCACACCTATTAAGAGGAATCGAATGTTTTTTAAACCATTCAAATCGGTTGATCCGTGTTCGCAAAAGTGTCGACGAAAATTTGTATCCGCACACACACATCCATTTTTTTTAAGGTATGCCAAAATGCTCAGAAACTTCTGAAACGTGAAGATATGGAAAAATTTTCAATTCCGATTTTTGGACGATTACAAAAACTTACCCTACAGGAAATTAAAAAAAATCGATTGTCTTAATCCTAATATTTCGCAAATATAAAAATTAACATCCTTAACTTGCAAAATTTGTATGGAATTGTGACAAGACAGAGGGCGCAACATAATTATATTGCAGAAGTTTTCCAAATCAATTTTATTTTTGATGTTATTTTTAACCATATAATAAAAGTGAACATAATGTGTAACTATTAATATTTAAAATTTTAAAACTTTTTAACATAAGAATAATATTGTAACTTCCCGCAGAAGCGGCTTATGTTATCGCGAAGAAATACGATTTGCTATTTTAAATTTAGGTTTTCTTGACCCAAATTAAAAAAGCAATATCGATGAAAAAAATCAAATCAAACATCCATAAATTACTACTTCATCACTAGTATCATTTTACGTTACGAGGTTGGCAGTTTTGGTAGCATGTAACAACTTTATGTTGAATAAACAACCGCAATTTTATCTACGACAGTTTTATATTTCTTTTTTTATTTATAGGAAAACAAATAATTTGCGGGTTACAACAGTCAAATTGTTGACATTTTCGTTGACAAAATTGGGACTTTATCATAAATTATATAAAAATAAGTCAAGGGCATAATATAATATAAAAGGACATCAAGATATCGTCAAATGTAACTAAACTTACGATCGGCTACGAATTGTAAATAAGTATCGAATTTTGTTCAAAACTGGTTCAGAAGTATTAAAAATCATAGAAACTGGGCACAATACGCAATGATCGTTTTCTAAGTAGTCCCAAATGATCAGGAGATGTGAAAACTAAACTCGAGTACATACTGGTGACAAAAATCGAATGTTTTTTGTTTCATCAAAATCGGTTCAGACGTTCTCAGTAATATTAGTTTTAGACAATTGCACATACCGTTTAAAATGAACATACATTCGCACAATATACAATAATTATTAACTTGTCGCATGGAAGTTGTGTAATGGGCCGAAAATCTTAATTGAGAATTTTTGCAAATCTTCACGTTTCAGAGGTTTCTGAAGATTTTGTTATACTTCAGAAAAAATTGATGTATGTGTGTAAAAAATGTACGAAAATCAAAATATAAAAAAATCAAATTTTTTAAAACAGTCATTTTTCGCAAAATTTTCAAAAATTTGATTATTTCAAGGTTTTTTTAAAAATTTTAGTTTTCGGTACGAGAAGATCCAGCAATTAGCCTTAAGGCACGATGTCATGTACATGTTTTCATCATACTCTTTTTTAACTTTCCGTAGGGAAAATTATAGTAATCGCAAAGAAATCGCAAAGAAATCGAAAATGAAATTTCTGAACATTTTGACATACCTTGGAAAAAATGGATGTATGTGTGTGTATTTGTGTTCGAATACAAATTTTCGTCGACGTTTTCGGGAACACGGTTCAACCGATTTAAATTATTAGTTTATTTATTTATTTATTTAAATGATTAGTTTTTGGCATAGGCATGTCTAGCTGTTTCAAAGATACGGGGCAAAGAGTGCCACAAACGGCTACTTAGTTTTTAAGAGAAAGGAGCGTGCGATTTTAATAATTCAAAAAACATTGTACTTGTATTGACAAGATGAAAAACTGATTAAATTTTGATGTGGGCAGGCCCAGCGGTTTCGGAGATCTAGTAAAAAAAAAGTAAAAAAATGCCATTTGGCGATCAAAAATGATCATTAGACAAATGCACATCAAATTATCAGATATTTTATAGAGATTTTAACAATAAGTATAAATTTTGTTTACATTCCTATCGGCTCCGTACCAATGTTTATCATGTTCGACGGCGACGCGGCGCTTGCGCGCTTCGATATTTCGTCTCTATGCAGTTAATGCAGTACGATTGCTTTGAAAAAAGTTCAAAATTTCCAAAATGTTTAAAATAAAGAAAACATTTATTTCAAAAAATCTTTTTTTTCTAAAAAAGTAAATTTTTGTTAAAAGTTTATAGCTTCTCAAAAATCGAATTTTTCCGAAGTAAAATTTTCTCAAAAATGTAAATCTTTTTAAAAAAAGTAATTTTTGATTTAGAAAAGTTAATTTATCCAGCAATTTGCCTTAAAGCACGATGCCATGCAGCACTAGTTATCTATGCATATTTCACTTGTGCGCTTTTTCGTTATCAAATGATTTCATCGATCCATATGCACTTACATGATCAAAGATTCGCACTTTATTCATAACATAAAATGAATAAAATCGACCATACGCATAATAAATGATTATAAATAAGTATAAATAAAAACCTTTTAAAATAAATAATAAGGAAAAATATCTTTAATCCAAATTTATTAAAAACGCTATTTTGTCGCCTCTCTTAAAACGTTATCCATAACTATTATATTGTCTACAACATTCCACGCTTACATTCCATCTTGAACTGTCAAACTGTCAAAGTTTTTCATTTCCAATAACAAATGTAATATAAATAAGTTTATTATTTATTTATTAGATTTTTTTTATTAAAATAGATTATTATATAGTTTTTGTCAATACTGAATGCAGTGAAAATATCTAAAAATGTCAGAAGAAGCAATTATGCCTCTGAATGCTCAGACAATCAAAACAGAACCACCAGAATATTTAGTAGAAGAGATTGATGTTGAAATAAAGGATGAATTTGATGGTGTTATTAAACCTGAAACGTGTTCTGATGATGAGACTTGTTTAGAAAGATTTATAAGCCCCGAAGTGACAATTGAAGAGGTCGAACAGGAGATACCCCCTTACAAATGTGATATCTGTAACAGATCTTTTGCAGAAGAAGTCACTTTAAAAGAGCATATGATTGAACATATGGTCAATCAAAACGGAAAGGGCCCCGCTAAATGTGATTTATGTCTCAAGACATTCAAGAAACCATCCATGTTAGCGATACACATGCTTGTTCATACAGGAGAACGCCCTTTTAAATGCGACTTATGCACCTACACATTCAATCAACGAAGCAATTTAAAAAGACACATGCTCACTCACACCAAAGAGCGTCGTTTCAAATGCGAAACATGCTCTAGCACCTTCACGCAAAGATCCAGTTTGAAAAAGCACATGCTCATCCACGCGGGTGAACTTTCCTTAAAATGTGAAATATGCAGTAAACGATTCCTAGATTTGGATGTTTTGACGAATCACATGCTCAGTCACAGTGGAGTGCGCTCACACGAATGCAAGATATGCTACAAGTCTTTTATGAAAGAATGCCATTTGACAAAACATATGCTCAGTCACAGCAGTTCACACAAATGTGAATTGTGCAACCAGATATTCACACATATACACCAACTGGATAATCACGTGTGCATTCAAAGTTGAATTTGCTCTCATAAATGCAAACTTCAATATAAGTCTTTTGGGGAGCCTTTTGGGGAGACACATGCGAAATATGCAATCAGGTGATTAGACACATGACTATTCGTAGTCACAAATGCAAAATATGCAATAAGGCGATCAAACGATCAGATCATCTAAGAAAAAACATTCAAAGTTATTGATGAAACAGACTAACTCTGTATGTGAAATGTGAATATTTATAAATCTCATTACTTCTATACAAATATTAGTATTATAAATATATTTATTAAATAGAATTAATTTCTACTCTGTATTAAATGATTTATTTTTATTAGACTGACTTGGGACTATTTGTGTTTGGATGGAATAAATCTATTATAACTAAGTATTGTATTGTTACTTTCTTAATTTTCACACCTAGTTTTTATTTGAATATAAAATTATTGAATAATTAACTAGTGGTGTATAGCATCGTGCCTTAAGGTAAATTTCTGCAACTTCCCGTACCGTAATTAAATATCCAAAGAATATTAAATGTTTTTACTTTTTTCTTACTAATAATTTAATAAACATTATTGTTTATGTTCAAATCTTAGATGAATTAATTTGTAAAATCTAGTTCATATGTGCACTATTCAATCTCAGATCAACTTGATAAATATTCCATATCCAATGCCAAACAAATTAATTTTTCTTGCATGAAACAATGTTCTAAGTCATTTTTTTAATAAGTAGAAATATTTTTTGTATTGTTTAATAATTTAGTAAAGTAAACCAAAATGCGACATGTATAAGTTTAAAAAAATAATGTATATGCAATTTTGGACTTATTGCGTTATTTGTTAAACTGAATTACATAATTTATCTGCCAACATATACTGTTGACTGTATGTTATATTATTTTAATTTCTGGTACATCTCAGCTGCTCTTCCGCAATGATAATGTAAACATTACTTAATTTATTTCCTATCTATAATATATATCTTTAATTTTCTTGTATATTACATTCTTATATCATCTAGGCTCATAATGTTACCTAAATTCAAATTTCAAGTGAATTGACATTTCCAGCTGATGACAGTTCAAATGTTTTCAATATCAAACAATGAAGTGTTTTTTTTGTAATTTTTGCCATTTATTTTTACAATATTACTATAGTTTCATTAAACATTAAAAAATTCCTTTGACAAACTCTAAAAAGATTTATCAAAATCCGAATAACCGTTTAGGAGAAGTATCAAATCATACACCCGCACAAAAAAATTTTATATATAAGATATATAAAATATTTTTATATATATATATATATATATATATATATATAAACAATTAATATTAATAAATATTCTACCTCCATACATGACGAACAAGGAAGCCTTCAGCATGAGCAATTTCGAATTAATTCCTCGTTTTTCACAAAATTTGGAAAATTTTGAAGTCTCTTCTTTAATTTCTTGTTTTTCTTGATCTTGATCCATTTTTATTTTTTAAAATCACCACTTAAATGTCCACTTGAATTAAATCACAAACAAATAAACACAAAAAAGATTAAAAATATTGCTAATTAATTATTTATATTATAAACAATTAATTAAAATAAATATTTTTAGATAGAATTTACTATTTTAGATTTTAATATTATTATGATTTATTAATTTATATATTATATTTATATTAAATATTTAAAAAAAACTTTACGTGTTTAACAATTAGTATACTTAGTATTATATATAATAAATACTAATTAGTAGTATAAATAATAAGTAAATATTGTATAATTTTTATAAACAATAAATTTAGAAATCTGATAAAATTTGGTAAAAAGCTAATTCAAAACTCGTTATGCGACGTCTCACTTTGCATAAAATATTTTAAGAAAAACTTTGAATAAATCAGCAAAACTACTAACTATTTATTTATTTATTTTTGATTTATTAACACTATAGACTATTTTGTATTGTTTTAAATGATTAAAAGTTATTAATTTGTCCATAATTGTTAAAACTTTAAATATAAGTTTGATAACGGTCAACTCCGTGCATACAAAATTTGATTAAAACCCGGTGCCAGTATTTCTTGTAACAGAAATTCTGGTAAGGTGCAACAAGTTTTCTGGTAAGGTGCAAGAATTTCCTTTTCGTGTTGAATAACTTTTAAAATAGTGAGTTTAAATATTGTACTTTGAAATATAAATTTTGTACTATAAATTTAGAAATCTGTCCAAAATTTGTAAAAAAAATTATTCAAATTTTTTGATTACGACAAAATGTGATTAAGGCCGGTGCCAGTATTTCTTGTAACAGAATTTCTGACAAGTTTTCTGGTAAGGTGAACAAGAATTTCCTTCTGGTGTTGAATAAGTTTTAAAATAGTGAGTTTAAATATTGTACTTTGAATATAAATTTTGTGGTATAAATTTAGAAATCTGTCCAAATTTCGTAAAAAAAATATTCAAAATTTCGAACTTAATCGTGACGACACATTTTATACCTATATATTTTTAATAAAGTTAAATTATTAAAAATACCAATTACTAAATATCAACTGGATATATTAACATTTTTATAATTATTTTAATTTAATAAAGCAGTTATTTACTTTTCATAATCAGAATATAAAAATTTACTTCAAATTTCAAATGTAACTGTCAACAGTGACAAAAAATAAATAGTGCACAAGACGCCAGATTTCCTGATAGTGCATGGCGGACAGTTCAACGATATGGCAAATCATAATTTACGATCTTGCCCGATATATTTTTGTAATTCTATCTCAAAAATTAAAAAATTTCAAAATTAAAAAAAATTCAAATCGTTTTATTTCAAAAACTTCAAAATTTGCAAAAATACTCAGAATTAAAAAAAAAATTAAAATTTGCGAACAAATCTAAATTTTAATATTTTTTTGAATTTCAAGATTTTTGAAATTAAAAATATTAAATTTACATAAAACTTATACTAAACTTTTCATAACCTTTTTAATATTTTTATAACAGCATTAATTATCCGATAATGATACTTATTTTAAAAATCAATAACTGTTATGTTAAACTGCAGCATTCTATTATCTTTTTATTATCATAACTTCATTTAATTTTTAGGAATATGAGATTAAATCATCTTATAAATTCATCTTAATCGGATACGACATTTATGCATTTATTGTTTACATTTCATACAATGCTCTGTTTGTACACTTATAAGCATTAGTGCATTTTAGGCTTAAAAAATATGAATTGTGAAATTCACAGTATACCATAATAATCTATTTGAAAATGCACAAAATTATTATTAATCATAAAATAAGTGAAAATCTGGCGCAAAATTCTTGCTCGCCTTACCAGAAAATTTGACAGAAATTCTGTTGTGTGCATCGGGCTTTAATAAAACAAATATTTATATTTTATCAAATAACTTTAAAAATTTAATTAATTAATTAATTTTCAAATTTGACACCTGTCAAATGACATTAAGTTTTAAATAAAACGAAATTTAAATTAATTAGATTAATAAAAGAATGTGTGTATTATTATCCTAATCATATATTTTTAAGTAAATTAAGTTAATAGAACAAATATTTATATTTTAACATAAATTTAAAAAAATTAATAATTCAATTTTCAAAAGTAAATTTGACGCCGGTCAATAATTTAAATAATCATAAACAAGCACTTTGAATTAAATATTAAAAAAAAACAAATCAATTTAAATATTAAATAAAAAAATAAAAAATAAATATTAAATTTGAAAACGTAATGTTAAACTTTTGTAAAAATTAAGTAGAGACCTGTCACTAATTTAACCCTTTCGATTTGGATGCCGCAAAATTCATACAAATTCGTAATTAGCGAGTGCAAAGGGTTAAAATATTAATAAGCATTTTGTATTAAATATTTAAAAAATCAAATTAATTATTTAATAAAATAAAATAATAAAATAATTAAATATTAAATTTAAAAATTTATGTCAAAATTTTGAAAAAAATAAGTTGTCACTAATTTAACCCTTTCGACTCGAATGCCTCCGGCGGCAAAATTCATACAAGTTCTTAATTAGCGAGTGGAAAGGGTTAAAATATTAATAAGCATTTTGTATTAAATATTTAAAAAAAATCAATTTAAATATTTTATAAAATAAAATAATAGAACAATTAAATATTAAATTTGAAAACCTATGTCAAATTTTTGTAAAAATTAGGTTGACACCTGCCAATAATTTAAAATATTAACAAACACTTTGTATTAAATATTAAAAAAAAACAAATCAATTTAAATATTAAACATTTAATAAAATAAAATAATAAAAAAATGAATATTGAATTTGAAAACGTATGTTAAAATTTTGTAAAAATTAAGTTGACACCTGTCGCTAATTTAACCCTTTCGACTCGAATGCCTCCGGCTGCAAAACTCATACAAATTCGTAATAAGCGATTGGAAAGGGTTAAAATATTAATAAGCATTTTGTATTAAATATTAAAAAAAATGAATTTAAATATTTAATAAAATAAAATAATAAAAAAATAAAATATTAAATTTGAAAACTTATGTCAAAATTTTGAAAAAATTATGTTGACACCTGTCAATAATTTGAAATATTAACAAGCACTTTGTATTAAATATTGAAAAAAAAATCAGTTTGAATATTAAACAATTAATAAAATAAAATAATAAAAAAATTAAATATTAAATATGAAAACTTATGTCAAAACTTCTAATCTGATGACGCCACGATTTGCTCTAATATTAAATAACAAAAAATTAAATGAAAATTTATTAAACAAAAATTAAAAATTTTAAATATACTAATTGTTAAATCCCACGTGTATCAATAAACTATTTTGCTCTTGTTTCAAATTAATAAATAATAATAAATGTAATTAAAAAAAAAAATCAAAAACTGGGGTCAAAATTGGCGCAAGTTCACACAAAACTAAAAATTAACACTTTTTTGAAATATAAATCGACAAACACTGTATATTAAAAATAATTTATAAAATGTCGAATTCAATTATTAGATATTTTATAATCCCAACAGTAAACCTCAAAATTTAATATAAAATTTTAAATATAAAACTTTAAATCAAGTATCCATCATCCAGCACAACACGAAAAAATTTCATCCATAATTATAATTTTATAATTTTTTTCGATACGTACATTTTATAATATATAAAATACGTAAATATATATATATACATATATATTTATATATATGAATAAATAAATTATATATACATGTTTACGAGCCGACGGTCCGAATAAAACTAAAAATTATTTGATGTGTTTTAATAGAAGAAATAATATTGCACACAGGACACAACAAAAGATGTCCTAGAAGCATTTGCCGGGGCAGCGCTTCTCAAACTGTAACAGTCATAACAGAAATATCTTATATATAAAATTCTTCTGTACGTGTGTATGATTTGATACTTCTCCTAAACGGTTATTCGGATTTTGATCATTCTTTTTACAGTTTGTCAGAGAAACTTTTTAAGATTTATTTAACAATAAAACTATAGCAATATTGTAGAAATAAATGACAAAAATTACAAAAAACCACTTATCATTTTTCGACATTGAAAACATTTGAAATGCCATATGTTAGAAATGTCAATTCACTTGAAGCTTGAATTTAGCTGACGTTATGAGCCTAAATAATATTAGAATGTAATATACAAGAAAAATGTAATGTTTACATTTTATTGTCGAAAAGCACCTGACATGTGCCAGAAATTAAAATAATATAAGATACAAGTCAACAGTATATGTTGGCAGATGAAATTATATAATTGCATATAAATAACGCAATAAGTCCAAAATTGCATATACCTTAATTTTTCTTTCAACTTATTCATGTTGTATTTTGAATTACTTTTGATTTACTATATATTTATATATCTAGCAGAGCCGGCCACGCATTGCCTGATTAAAATTTGAGTCCATTTGGCAATCAACATATAAATCCTTTTTTGAAGTAAAGTTCTTTAGGCGCGACTAGGGTGTAAATCCGTACAAATGCAACGGAAATTGCGTCACGCCCGAACTGTACGTCATTCGCTCTCGGTGAAATCATTTCAATACGGGTCAATTGTGATTAGTTGTCGTGTATGTGAATAGATATATATCGTTTCATGCGTACCAATATCAACAAGGAAATCGGCATAGATAAATAAACATTTCAAAGTTACACCGTATTACAAATCTTGATTTAATGAAAAATGCCTGAATCAGAAAAATATTTTACCCTGTTCCTTGAAAATAATAAAACAAAATAAATATTTGTGCCGTGTACTAACGTAAGTTTATTGATTAGAAATTATTTCTATATTATTCGTAGTTTCTATAAATCTTTGAAGCTAATAAAACGGAAAATATTTTTTAGGTAAGACAGATATTACAACTGTTCAAAGATTGAGATTATATCGCCAGCGAAAAAGTAAAAAAATACAAGCAGTCAATGAATGTATGTTAATTTTA